ATTTTTGTCTTTCTTTATCATCCAAATTGACAAAAATAACTGCTTGAAATACATCCGTATGTAATAAATCTGTATCACAGATTTCACAGCATAAGTTTGGATTGAATTCTGAAGTTTCCCACATTGTTGAAAGGTTAGTGAACACAGAAATAGGCTCAAAATTAGAAATAGTAGGTGCAAGTCAGTTCAGGTACTTCCCCTTCTCTTGCTTGGTAGTTGCATGACAATGATGCCTCCCTTCACGTTTACTCCACAACAGAATGGGTTAGTAAATATATCTGTAATAAGATTCCCTGAAAAATGGTACTTACACCTCCATTGTTTTTTTTTTTGTTTTTTTTTTAAATTTCCACAAAACATAAGAAAACGTAAATTTTCTCCCATTTGCTATGTCTTACCATGTCCCCACCTGTGCAGACGTGGATCACAGGAAACATTGTAATGGTTATGGGAATCAGAGCTCGCCATTAACTGCTTTGGTCTGGGCAGCAGCTTGGCTGAATTCAGAGGATGGCTATTACTGCATGTGATGAGTGGCTGGATTTCTCAGAGCACAGAAGGAGAGATGCCGGTTGTGGTGGAGGGGCTGAGGAGGACTGTGAGGAGGGAGAAAGAGGAAAAGGAGGGGTGAAAAGAGAACAGAATACATTGCCTGTGCACAACTGGATGCAGCCGGAAGTGCAGCAGCGCCTGTGGGAGGCAAGAAAAAGAACCTGCCTGGAATGGAGGAGAGCGATGCAGCACAGTTGCTGTTGTCAGGACTCCCTCCACCTTTCATCTGCCGCCACGCTGGATTCTGTGTTAATGAGAAAGAGTCGGAGCAGGTACGCATCCAGCCTTTGCATACTGCAATGTGGACTGCATTTATTTCTTGTAAGAGGTTCATGTTTGCAAGGTGAAGGTGGAGGGCATTCTCGATTTGTGCAGGGTGCTATTCCTGTATTAAAAGTGTTATCGGTGCAGTGGTCAGTAGAAGATGCATGTAGGCATGATAAATTAAGGTTATTGCCAATAAATACAGGTGATTTCTTAGTAGACTCAATTTATTTCGTTACTATTGACAGCTCTGGGATGTCTAAGAGACCAGCTGTTTGTGTTCAACTTTGACATGATGCTTAAAGCAGGAGAGGCGACCACTTTCCATGTATTACTGCTGATGCTGCTTCCATCTCTGTGCTGGTACCACCTGTGTCACTCTTTTCGTAAGTACTGTACTGTATGCATGAAAAAACTCTTATTTAAATCATTCAATTAGAAAAAAGGGATACATATTGCTTTCTGTCAGTACAAAATATAATGCATCAGGTACTATACCTAATCATGAAGTCCAGGTGATTTTTTTTTATACGAGTTTGTTCTTTGTTGGATGATTTAACAGGGTACCCAATCAAATTGCTTCTCCTTTGGCAAATCAGGCAGAATAATTCACACAGGACTGAGTCACTTGTAAGATTTTGCCTCTCAGGTTGATGAAACAGTCAGAAGGAATGTCAGTGGTAATATACTTAAATACATTAGGATTGTCTAAATCCACATTTCCTCCAATTTTAACATGAAATTACTTTTACCTACACATATTCATAATTAATTCAAAAAAATGGAAATAGTGCGACCACATAAATCTAAAAGAATACATGATTACAATTAGGTAAATATAAAGCATTCTTTGTTCAAGCAACAAGGCATCTAAGAGCTGTTCTAAGCAGAGATGTAAACAACTGACAACATGAGTGGATCAAGCTGAAGTAAACACAAATAAAAACTGTCAGGGAAGTTTTGTTTTTATGGATTGTTGTATTGAGACTGCCTTAACAAAGATTTACTTTCACTGACGAGCTTCATATCCGGAATGAGCCACCCATCAAATTATGTAATTTATGTTCATTTGAAAACAGTGTTTTTGTGTTTCATAATGCTTCACTCCTGAGCAGCAACATTATTCATCAAAATGCAATGGGTAACATTAAATATTCATTTTACTCTGCAGCAGATTAGTTTAGTTTTGATGGATTAAACTGTACAGATATTATTTATTGTTTTTTTCTTTCCCCAACAGTACCTCAGGCCACAAACGACATTTCCAAAAAGAGGAAACAGCCTGTCTCATGGGATGGCATGTTGTAGAAAAAGGCAGGGTGATCCTGAATTTGTTTATCGCACAGCCAGTGGCTGGGCATGTATCTGCACTAGTGATACACACATGTGCGGCCATCATTGTGGTGAATTTTCAGCTGCAGTACTTTGCAATATTGACATCACCATCAGCTTTTTCATTATTTGTCTCCCTACAACCAGAAACTGCAATGGATCTTATCTGGATTTTAACTGGTAGAACAACTCACCAGTGTGCGTAATTCAGAGGTGGAAGGAAAAGGATACTGAATTCAGAAAAAATGCGATATTCAGCTTCGCTGACTCAGCATTTTGAAGAACCACCTTTGGCTGCAATTACAGCTGCTGTGTCTATACAAGCTTGACACACATATAGACAGGAATATTTACCCATTCTATTTTTAATTGGGTAAATCAAAAATAAATTTACTGGATGAAGAACAACTCTGAACACCAGTTTTCAAGTCCTCACATAGATTCTTGATAAGATTTGGTCTATCATGTCGTATAATATATTATATAGTCATGCATCATGAAAATATGAACTTGTTTGTATTACATTACATTACATAGTAACATTACAGGATTTCCTATGTAGGGCAAAGAGCTCAATTTTGGCCACATCTTTGTAGAGCAACTCCTTGTACGAAGTTGCTTTGTCCTCTACATGCTTTGTGGTGAACTGCAAATGACATTCTTCTTACCATGCCACTATAAATCCCAGATTTGGGGAGTGCAGGACTATTCTCTTGACAGATTATCTCACATGAGCTCTGGATCACTGCAACTCCTTAGAGTTAGCATGGTTCTGTAAGCTGCTTCTCTTCTCACCAGCCTGTTAAGACTGCCCTGTTTTGGTTAGTTTTGCACTTGTCTGATAAGATTTTCAGATGATGCTGTTTACTAATGTGCTTTGGCAAAGTGCAAAGGCCTTTAAATTATTTCTAATGAGACAATTGACTGGACAGGATTTTGTTTTTGGACTGCTAGTTTTAAAGGAGGCTAAATTAATACACAAAATCCAAAGGAGGAAATGAAGCCGAAACAAATCCAAAAACAGAGCACAAACTAGGAGTTACATAATAAACCAACAGTAACTGAAGGAACCAAGGGGAAATATAATGCAAGTATAGACAATACAAATGGGGCAACTGTGGCTGTGTGGGTAGAGTAGTCATCTTGCAATCAGAAGGTTGTAGGTTTGATTCCAGCTTCCTCCTGCTACATATCAATGTGGCTTTTGGGCAAGGCACTCACAAGATACTTGTGAGTGCAAATGGGGGAATGTGACTCTACTGTAAAGTGCTTTGAGTGGTAAAAAATGATTGGAAAAGTGTTATATAGAGGTGGACCTTTCCACAATTCCTGGGAAATATTTTAATTCTGCTATCCATCAATGCCAGTCCAAATAAGGTTAAACATGAACTAGCATGGTCAAAAGGCTAAAGCTTGATGGAGAGGCTGTTCTGCAACAAAAATGCAAACATGGAGCTTCTTCCTTATGACTGCAAGAAAAGAGTCAGTGCTTAGTGGACGGTTCCTGTCTGGCTTTGCTTCTCAAATTAGACGGGCAATCATCATGCCAATGTTTTATTATTTTGAAACACAAATACTCTTAACTGTTCTCATTTAAATTTTTAAATCAATGAGGCATCAAACTGTCAGGCATAATGTTGACATGATTTTTCTATGAGTAATGTTTCATAATGTTGTAGAAAAATCTAGGATATCGTTCTATTTCATACTCAACCCGTAAACTGTATTTGTCTGTCTTTTCTCACATCTCAGAGGTTCCAAATCTCTCCTCCTATGCAAAAGCAGAGGATAAACTGTTCAAATACCTCTTTCAAAACTACCAGAAATGGGTTCGTCCAGTGGAGTACCTAAACCAGACCATCAGTGTGAAGTTTGGGTTGGCCATCTCCCAGCTGGTTGATGTGGTGAGCTTAAAGGTTTTCTAATCCTTTGCAATGGTTCTGAAGGTTTGTGTTATAGTCATTAACGTTTTGATTTTCCCTTTCAGGATGAGAAAAACCAGTTAATGACAACTAATGTTTGGATGAAACAGGCAAGTAAAGTAATGCATACATAAATAACTGAATTTAGATTTCATTTCCTCATACTACATGTTTATGTCTTGGTAAACCTATTTGGTGCTCATAGCCATTTTGTGTGTGAAAGTGCTTTCAGTTCTAGCAGGTAAGCAGAAGCAGTGGGGATTTTTTAATCAGGTCTGGTGGCATTTCACTGACAGTTCTCATCTATTTGAGCCAATTCGACCCTGAGCCTACACACCTGCTTCCCCATGCCCGCTCCATCCCCTCTCCTGCTCCTGTCAGCTGTATATATGGACCCTGTGGCGGGTCATGTAAATGATTAAACCCAGCTCTTTGTTTCAGTTCGGATACATTCTGCCACAATGATAAGTTACATCATGCCACATTGGGAAACTGAAGGGCAGGGGCAGATGAGATGATCTATCATTTCCAAAATGGCTATGTGTTCAATTTAAAGCTGTTTTTAGCCTATTTACATTAACTGTATGTGTCAGGTCAATGCCATGGGATACTAAAACCAAAGCAAACAGTGTTGCCTCCCATTGTCAGTTGTAAAGGAAATTACACCTGTATATTTTCCTGAAATGATTTATTCTCTATTGTATAGGAATGGGTTGATATGAAATTGAGATGGAGCCCTGAAGACTTTCTGGGCATCACAACCATTCGTGTTCCCTCAGACAGGATCTGGCTTCCTGATGTTGTACTTTATGACAAGTATGTGACACAATGGGGTGGGCTGCTATATGATAATATTAGATTAGAGGTAATAATTTAAGGGTTTTAGAAAACTGTAATCACACCGCACAGAGCTATAAAGCCTCTGGTTGTTTTGTCTCTACAGTTCAGATGGACGTTTTGAGGGAACTATCACTAAGGCCGTCGTCAAGTACGACGGGACCATTTCATGGAATCCACCAGCCAACTACAAGTCCGCCTGCACCATCGATGTAACCTTCTTCCCATTTGACCTCCAGAACTGTTCAATGAAGTTTGGATCCTGGACCTATGACGGCTCACAAGTGAGTCTAAATTTCATTGAAAGTGCACAGTGCATTACCAGTGGTAACCTGTTACTAAATTTATTATATATTCTCATAGGTGGACATCCTTCTGGAAGATTTCCATGTGGACAAGCAGGATTATTTTGACAATGGAGAATGGGAGATAGTGAAAGCAACAGGCAGCCGTGGTCTCAGAACTGATGGCAGCAGCTCCTATCCCACCATCACCTATTTCTTTATTATCCGCAGGCTGCCTCTTTTCTACACTCTCTTCCTCATCATCCCTTGCATTGGCCTGTCCTTTCTCACCATCCTTGTCTTCTATCTGCCCTCAAACGGAGGTGAAAAGATCTCTCTCTGCACCTCGGTGCTGGTGTCGCTCACAGTCTTCCTCTTGGTCATTGAAGAGATCATCCCTTCTTCTTCCAAGGCAATCCCTCTTATTGGGGAATACCTGGTCTTTACCATGATCTTTGTCACACTCTCAATCGTCATCACCGTCTTTGCCATCAACATCCACCATCGCTCCTCATCAACACATCATGGCATGGCACCGTGGGTGAGAAGGATTTTCCTACATCGGCTACCTAAGCTGCTATGGATGCGTAGCCATGTGGACCGCTATGCTGCAGCCAGAGTGCCTGAATCAGAAAGAAATGTTGGATTAGGGAAGATGACAAACCCAAGCCCTGAGCTCACTCCACTTCTCTACACCCAGCACAACCTCCAAGCAGCTTTGGAATCTATTCGCTACATCACCATGCACGTGGTTAAAGAAAACCAGGTCAGAGAGGTGAGTTTGACCTGTTTCAGCATTTTTCACAAAATGCTGAAAAATAATATCAATCATTAATCAGTTCCAAATTTCCTTATCACTAAGCTATTGGTAATATTCTTAGCGGTTGATCTGTGCTTCTTTTTTCCTACAGGTGGTGCGAGACTGGAAGTTTGCTGCTCAGGTCCTGGATCGAATGTTTCTGTGGGCCTTCCTTCTGGTGTCAGTTCTTGGATCTGCTCTCCTTTTCATCCCAGTCATTCACAAATGGGCGAGCATCATCGTCCCTACTCATCCCGGCAGCACTTTCTAGAAATGTCTTTAATCACAACGGGAGGTGAAAGAAAAGCACATTAACTGCTCTTCAGACCATCTGAGACATTTGAATGACAGTGCAGACTATTCACGACATTCCTTTGCATTCGATTTCTGATATACTATTGTGCCAGAAATAATGCTGCAACTCTGAACACAGTAATTGCTGACTGGACATGTGTACATGTGCATTTTATAGTATTATTCTAAGCTTGTTTCTAAAGAGCAGCTGGACAGGAAAAGCAACAAAAGAAAAAGTAGATACATATTTATGTAGTTTAAATCATGACAACTGCCGTAGCAATGGACAGGACAACATAACCCAGGAAGAACATATCCTTTGAGTAAAAGCATGTCATTAATATGACATTCGTTTTGTTTAATTTTGCATTTTTCTTAATGCGTAGATGTATAGAATATTTTGCATCAGGACACTTGTAATTCTGGTGCATAATTTCAGCAGTAAAACTCTCTTTTTCTTTTTATCATAAGCTTTCTATTAAGAGGCATTCTGGAAAACATTTTCTGAGCTAAACATAGGAGCTTGTTTGCTGATTCCTTGCAGATTTTCTTGTCAGGACTTGAAGTTTCCCTGCAATCTGCTTCCTTTCAGAGTAAACATCTTGAATTCCTTCTAAGGGTGGGTCACATTTTTCAGTAACAACAAAGTTCAGGCATGGTTTTGGACTCTGGGGTGCCCAACCTCAGTCCTGGAGAACTACTATCCTGTAACTCGTTTGTTTCATCAACATCCCTGGGTGACTTGAATGTTTTGCTAAAGGCCTCTGCAGAGCTGAAGGACTTAAGAGGGAATTCAGTCATTTGAGGTTTAGCTTAGCATATAGAACACGTGTTCTGTTAACTGGAATCTACTTACAGACTAACAATAGTCAATGGGCTTTTTACTGGAGCATTCAATGCCTCTAAGTGGCCACACACCTATAAAATATGATGTTCTCCTGTATAAGGTCACAAGAGAACAAAATGCCTTGCACAGCATTTTCCTGTTATGTAAGGCAGAAAAATGAGACAATTTTCCAAAAGAGAAAATGTTGATAAATTAAAACTACAAAATCAGAAGGTCATGAAGACAGAAGAGGTGACGACAAGAATTAGTTCAGCTACTCTGCAGAGGAAGCTCATTTAAGCTGCTTACATCCAGAATCCTGTTCTTTTGCTTATGATTTACTGTATATCTCATGATTGTAGATGAAGTTTCAGAACACATGAGACTATGGCGTCCGGGTCACTGGAGCTAACTCTCAGTCTGGCCAGTTCCTATTCAACTGTGTACTGCATAACTGCATACTGAAAATAATTTGCTATATAAAATAAATAAATATATATACAAATGTGTTTATGCTATACAGTGCTTGTCAGTAGTTTACGTAAGGCAAAATCAGTGTCTGTCACTACAGACATTTGGGAGTTTTATTACTGCATTTTAACTGTTCTTTTTTCATGATAGGATGAATTTTCAAAACAAAATAGTCAAAATTAAAGACAGATAGACTCAAATATACGCAAATCTAGCCTTTTATTTTAACAAATACCCAATAGTCTTTTATCAGGATCATACAATGCCATTTGGGAATTATGACATATGATTGATCATTCAGAAAACAATTAAGAAAGTTTATATATTTTTAAAAAAAAACATGCATATGAGCTATATTTTATTGTTTTTCCAGCTGTTGTCACTTTGCAAACCATGTGAACCATGGTCTGCTGATATTACTTAGTGCATCTTTAGATGCAATTATTGTCAAGCTAAAGATGACAATAATTGTAGGTAGGTAAAGAAAAGTTAAATCTAAAAAGGATCTCAGATTGTAAGAACAACCTTGAATTCAAAGCAGGCTTGTTGCACAATGCAGAACAAAGAGACCCCTTCTTTTTGCTGAACTGCCTCCCTCACCAAGGTAAGCTAATCCATAATCGCTTTATACAAGTTTTTTCTGGAATTTTCAATTGCATTGCTTGTGCAGAACATAAGCTATTTCATACAGAAAACTAAGAATCTCACTAGACCTACTTCATTCAAAGCAGGTATGTAATGGATTTTGTTTTCTATTTTCTATGTAAAACAACATGTCTTAGCTAGTTTGTGAAATTCTAATTTTGTTTTTCTTTTAGGCTAAAGATGGAATCCAGGGGGAAAGCCACAGCATATCTTTTCCTAGTATTTGCAGTATTCCTTTCATGGAGAGTTGGTCACGGTGGCAGGATTTTGATCATTCCTTTGGAAGGCAGCCACTGGGTGAATATGGACATTATGATTCAAGCTCTCCACTCTCGTGGGCACTCCATTGATGTAATAAGGACCAATAAAAGCTGGTACATCAAGGACGACTCTCCGTACTACAAAACCATCACGGTTCCTGTTGCCAGAGCTTTCAATCATGATTTCATCAACCCAATCCTCAGAAAGATTTTTGCATTAGAGAGAGGAGAGAGCTCTGTTATGAGCTTCCTGAGTTTGCAGGTTGAAATGTTTAAAGCTATGTTTGACATGCATGGAATGATGTGTGAGATGGCCAGCACAATGTTGGAGGATAAAAAGTTTATGAATGGTTTAAAGGCAAAAAAGTATGACCTGGTAATGACTGATCCTGCATGGGGAGCTGGAATAATGTTAGCCCACGCTCTTAAACTACCTCTAGTCTATAATGTGAGATGGGTTACCAGTGGGGAGGGCCACTTAGCCCTTGCACCTTCTCCTTTATCTTACATCCCAATGACAGGCTCAGGACTGACAGACAAAATGACCTTCATACAGAGAGTCAAAAATCTCCTTTTCTACACCATCTGGGAAGTTCAGGACACCTTTCTGATCAGTCCCCAGTATCAAGCAATCTGTAATAAATTCTTTGGCCCAGATGTTAGATACAGTGACATGTTGCGGGGAGCAGACCTGTGGCTCATGAGAGTGGACTTTGTTTTTGAGTTCCCCCGTCCTACCATGCCAAATGCCATCTACATCGGGGGCTTTCAGTGTGAACCAGCTAAACCTCTTCCTAAGAACCTGGAGGAGTTTGTTCAGAGCTCTGGACAGCATGGTGTCATCATCATGTCTCTTGGGACTTTTGTTAGTGAACTCCCTTCAGATGTGACAAACAAAATTATTGAAGCTTTTGGTCAGTTACCTCAGAAAGTAATCTGGAGCTATAAAGGTAGCAAACCAGCCAATGTGGGAAAAAACACTTTACTGGTTAACTGGATGCCACAAAAAGACCTTTTAGGACATCCAAAGGTGAAACTATTTGTGACTCATGGAGGAACAAATGGAGTCCAGGAGGCCATTTACCATGGAGTACCAGTAGTGGGTTTACCTGTGTTTTATGACCAGTATGACAATCTTTTACGACTGCAAGACAGAGGAGCGGCTAAGATCCTTACCTTAGCCACTGTGGACAAAGAGGACACATTTCTGAAAACTGTCAAAGAAGTACTGTCTGAACCATCCTACAGGGTTAACATGCAGAGACTCTCCAGATTGCACAGGGATCAGCCAATGAAGCCGATCGATACCGCCCTCTTCTGGATAGAATTTGCAATAAGACACCAAGGTGCAGCTCATCTGAGAACCGAGTCCCACAGACTGCCTTGGTATTCCTACTACTCTGTAGATGTTTTCCTGTTCTTCCTGTTTGTTGTTGCAGTAATTACATTTTCATTTGTCACGACTTTCAGATTGCTTTGTCTTGAAAAATGCTTGAAAGGAAAAACTAATCAAACAAAGATAAAATGAAAAGGTTCTGTGTTGGTTATCATGACTTACTTTATTTTACTCTGGATCTAGGTTTATGTATTTCCTTCATTTAAACTGACCTGATGTTGACTGAATATTTTGTATGATATAAATATCTCGTTTCACTTAAGTCTTTAAAGGGAAGTAAGCACTTCTCGTAAGTCATTCTGCACTGTGACATATTAGGTGCAAGATTACAAATCTGTGGCTGCAATAAAAACAAAGTATGCAACAATCAGCAATAAATGCCATTTGTCTCAAGAGGGCACTACATAAATCATAATTATTAAAGCATTTCATTGTAAGTCATTTAAGAGTTCAAGTTAGTCTTGAAAAATGCAATTCCCCAGTTTTCTTTTTCTTAATTTTAAACTTTTCACAGCACTAATGGTTGGAAATTTATTTATTTTCACACTGTTGGCTCCAAAATGTACTTTTTAAAAGAACTTAATAGTCATTTTCTTATTTACTTTACAAAAATCAAGTGGACATATTGATCATTGCAGCCATAGGTGTACTAACAAAACATTATTGCCATCAGCATTCAGTATTTACAGAGCAAAAAGTGAAACACATTGGCAAAATTAAATGAATTAAGCACACAACTAGTTGAGCCCCACAATGCTTCATAAAGTACAAATAAGTACTCTCCAATAGACAAGAAACAACCCAAAATAGTAGAATTGCAACGTATTTCCAAAGTTTTCATACAACTTTGAATTTTCACATTTTGTCATAACAACAAACTTCTATGCATTTTACTGGGATTTTATGCAGTAGAACATGTAGTGTATATTGATGACCAAGAAGATAAAAGACAGATTTATTTTACAAATAGAAATCGTATAAATATGGTGTATGTCTTTGTCTCCTTCACTTTGCTACAGCTAAATAAAAACCAGTGCACCCAACCTGATCCTGATGATATGTAATGAGTAAGTACAGCTCACATGTGTGTAGTTTCACTGGAGTGTAAGCAGAAGAAGATCACAGTGGATTTGACTTCTATAGTAATATCCTAACTTTGTGGTTGAATTTTACAGCTTCCAATAGATAATAGACCCAGTCAAAATGGAGACCTAGGTCTAATTTCTAATCTATGGTACAACTGGAAAATTGATTTTTACAGTCCCAAGCTTGATGGAGTTCAACTTGTTTTACAAGGAACTGGCACAAAATTAAGACTGATAGAGACAAACCAATACAAATCCATGTAATGCATACAAAACAAATATTTTAACTTTACTTTGCATTTTCAAAGTCATTTGAAATTATGTGGCAAAATGTGAAAAGTTCAAGTTGTATGAACAATGCACTGTCCTTGTGGCTTAATCTGTCAGGTCAACACTGTTGCATTGTCCTGGAGTAGCACAACGATGAAATGAACAAAATACATGCATGTAATGGATTTATGCATCACATTCAGGTGAAGTCTTATTCTGGTGACTTTCATGAAGACTTGTTTTTGACACAAGTGGTGTACAGCACATGTGAAGTACTTGGTCCTGCGGATGAATCATCTGTAGTGAAAAAACAGGAAGCTGTCAAGATGTATCAGTGCTTCTTTGTTTAGCACTTTTATATCCGCAGTTATTTTCTAACATATACTTAAAAGGCAATTTATGCATGTCTTTAAAGTGTTTTACATTGCACATATTGAACACAAGGATTGTACAAGAATTGTCAAAGCCATTAACATCACATGGAATATAAAATACTCCATGTATATTATAATATACATGGAC